AGACACGGGTTCCATCCTGATTTCATGCACGTCTCCTCATCCCTTGACCCTGAGAAATCCTTGGTGTTGCCTGGGCATTTGTGTATCAGGGAAAAGGTGGCATTGTGGACCAAGACTGATCTGTCCAGGGCATTTCGGAATGTCCTGGGTGTCGGTGTCTACTGTGTCCTACAGATGTCAGTGGAGGCCTGTGCTTCCTGAATAGGCCAGCTCCCCAACTTGTTGGATATGGCCCTGCTGAGTTTCCCCACTGGGTATTGGGCTGTGAGAACTTATCAGTGGGTTTCTAGTATTAAGTGGAAGTGCTGGGCTTTGGGTGTGTTTAGTTAGATGTTGCCCATGTGCTTCTCTACACTCTGCCCTCCACTGCACCCTTCCCTGCATGGAACCTTGCCCTTTACTGCATCTAGTACTCCACTGGACCTTGTCCCCCACTGCATCCTGTATTCCACTGGACCTTGTCCCCCACTACATCCTGTATTCCACTGCACCCTGTCCTCCCCTGCACCCTGCGCTCCACTGCACCCTGCCCTCCCCTGCACCCTGCGCTCCACTGCACCCTGTCCTCCCCTGCACCCTGCACTCCACTGCACTCTGCCCTCCACTGCACCCTGCCCTCCACTGCACCCTGCCCTCCCCTGCACCCTGCCCTCCACTGCATCCTGTATTCCACTGCACCCTGCCCTCCCCTGCACCCTGCGCTCCACTGCACCCTGTGCTCCCCTGCACCCTGCCCTCCCCTGCACCCTGCCCTCCCCTGCACCCTGCCCCCTACACTCAAGACTACACACCTACTGGGTTTGGGGTCCTTGATACCGCCAAGGACCTTGCCACTCCACAAGCCCCCTCCTGAACATCAAATAAATCAATGAATATCAAAAGAGAGATGGGGTATTTCTTCCTGTAAAGTAACAGATAACAAATATTGTCAGCGGTGCAGGCCTCTGCCACACCTATATGGCTCTGTCATGATAGTAGAAACCTGGCCAAAAAAACCTCAACTGTGTTCTGATCATACTTTACTTGTGGATGCTAAAATTTGAACTTTTTAAAAGTTTATGTATGTTTTAATGTGTATGAGTGTTTTGCCTGCATGTATGTAAGTGTACCTGTCTGTGTAAACCTGCAGAGGCCAGAAGAGGACGTTGGGTCACCTGGAACTGGAGTTATAGATGGTTGTTAGCTACCATGAGGGTGCTAGGAACCAAACTGGGGACCTCTGGAAGAGCAGCCAGTGCTCTTAACCCCTGAGCCTTCTCTCCACATACCCTCCACCAGCACCCAGTTCATGATTTTGAAACCGACAAGGTGGGAAATCTGGAAAGCCTGAGTGTCTATAGGTATCACTTTGCCCCCTCCCCAAACCAGCTTTGTCCTTTAAGCAACAGCCTCCCTCCTTCAAAAGTTACTAGCAAGGGGGGCTAGGAAAGATGGTTCGGCTGGTAAAGTGCTTTCAGCACAAGAATGAGGATCTGAGTTTAATCCCCAGAATCCACATAAAAAAGCTGGGTGTGTTCAAGTTGGTACTGACCAGGTGGTTTCTTTCCTGCTGGCTAGCTCTCATAGTACTAGAAAGGTGCTATGAAGGCTGTTGGGGGGGAAAGTCATCAACAGTCTTACCCAGCAGTGAACCCTGCAAGCTACAGTAACAACCAGCCTGGCAAGATATGCCCATGGTTGCAATAGTGGCATGAATATAATGAAGGTAACCAACTGCTTTCTGATTGGACTTAAGTCCACTTCATAGGAGGAAACATGTCTGTTACTACAAATCTGGCCAAGAACCCGAGCTTACAGGCCCTGGGGTGGACCTACTACTATTATCTTGCTAAATGGACATAGTATCAAACTTCCCAAGTTCGCAGTGAACCCTGCAAGCTACAGTAACAACCAGCCTGGCAAGATATGCCCATGGTTGCAATAGTGGCATGAATATAATGAAGGCAACCAACTGCTTTCTGATTGGACTTAAGTCCACTTCATAGGAGGAAACATTGTCTGTTACTACAAATCTGGCCAAGAACCCGAGCTTACAGGCCCCGGGGTGGACCTACTACTATTATCTTGCTAAATGGACATAGTATCAAACTTCCCTCTAAATTCTTATCTTTCTGTCCATAGATCAGTACAGCCCTCAGACCTTACCAAAGAAGTTTCTTTATGCAGTGTATGGTGATTAATGTAGAAACTCACAACTGATCAAAGTACAGAAAATGTCACTGTAGTGCTCAGCCACAAATGGGACATCTATATCACACCCCCTGACAAGGCTCAGCAATGATCATGGAAGAGATGGCAGACAGACTGTAAGAGCCAGAAGTCAGAAAAGACTAGTGAAACAGCGTCTTCTGGACATGACAGGACCACTGTGCTCATGAACTCACTGCAGCTGTGCTTGCCTGCAGAAGACCTGTACAAAATCACACATTTAACATTAGAGCATGGAGGGGCAGAGGGGTTCATGAGTACCTCCCCAACCCAGAAGCTATGGACAGTTAATGGATTCTGAGAGAGGAAGAGTCAGTTTTCTTTAAAGGTATGGCTCCTGGTAGGTCAGCCTCTCTCCAGTGGGTCACTCCATACCCAGGAGCATATGGACAGCAAAAATTGGAGTTGGTGATTATTAAAAAAACAAGGACACAGAGTTGGGAGGGGTTGGGATGGGGAGGTGAATCTGGGAGGAGTTAAAAGGAGGAATTAGGGATAACTATGATTAAAATACATTGTATTAAATTCTCAAAGAATTATTTAAAATATTTTTTTTAAAAGGTGTGCCCACTGGTGCAATAGTGGCATGACTGTTATGGGGTAGCCAACTGTTCCCTGATTGGATATACAGCCTGCTCCACGAGAGGGAGTTTAAACTTATATATCCTGTCAAAAACCCATGTCCGAGAACGTCTTGGGCCTAGGGCTAAACTTACTGTTACTTGTTTAGCTTACTTGTCATGGTGCAAAGCTACATTCTAAATATTTATGTTCATACCCATGGACAAATGCTTCTCCCAGCCTTAAACAGAGAAGCTTCTCTTTGCCATGGATAACAATGAATGCAGAGACTCATGGCTGCCCAAGGTGCGCAAGTGATGCTGAATGCTTGGGCCTAGTTAGGACATTTATCCACTACCTCTAAGACTCAGGGATCATTTAGGAAGTCAGAATAGAAGGAATGCAAGAACTGGAAGATGAAGAGACGAGCCTCCTTCTGGGCACAGCACAGCCAGTGTTGTCAGCCTCTCAGCTGTGGCTGTCTGCAGTGGTTCTGCACAACACTGGGAGAGGCTCCTGGGGCCCTACCCTTCTCTACTGAGCAGCCAGGGTTTTTGACCGGACTTACAGTACTGATGGATTCTGGGAGAGGGACAGTCACTGTCCTCAGTTGTGAACCCTCTGAGGAGCCCACCAGTGTCCGGTGGCTAGTTCCAGACCTGTGGTTACACAGACCATCCTGGTTCAGTTCAGTGGGTCTCAAACTCAATCCAACAAAGACATGATGTGGGAAGGGGGGGGAGGAATGGGCAGGAGATTAGAGAGGGTGAGGGGTACAGTAATCAGAATGCACTTTACACATGTACTAATTGTCAAAGAACAAATGCAATAAAAGTAATAAAAAGAGGAAAAAAAGCAAACACTGAAAAAAATGATACCATGTTCTATGAAATAATTGAACAGAAAATATAATTCTATTGTCTCTTTTCCCATTTCTCCTTGAAAATTACTCCTTTCAAATGTATGAGCTAGGGTTTTAGAAAAAAAGATGATTAATGAATATGAGAACTTCTGATAGTAACATTTTTGAGCCATGAGCCATCCTAGCCAAACTACAATCATCTTTTGTTAAATTCTGCATCCTGTCCAAAAGAAAGAAAATCCAGTCAACCAAACGGAAGAGCAAATCAGAGACACATTTCATTTACTTTTACTCGTTTCTTTTTGCACCTGCTGTCTTCACACCCAAGTAGTGAATTGTTTAGATCTCAGAGAGAGAAGAACCTTCATCATTTTGATTGTCATCTGCTATGAAGAAGGGCTGTCAGTAGCTTAGGGAAAATGAGAGATACGTATTCTGGGTTGGGACCAACTCCCATGATTGGATCTGGTTAGAAAGATTTAGCTTATTCCTGTCCCTTCCATCAAACTGTGGGCCTGCTTCAAGATGCAACTGAACGCTAAGCTCTTTTTTCTTTTTAAAAATTATACTTTATAGTGTGTGTATATGGAGCGGATCAGGAGACAATTTGTGAGAGTTCTCTCCTTCCACAATCTGGGTCCTAGGGATTGAACTCAGATCCTCTGACTAGGCAGCAGGCACTTTGCCCCACTGAGCCATCTTGACAGCCCCAAGTTCTTTTTCTTGAGAGTGGGGGAATGTACAGATCTACTAGTACCAGGGACCTAAAGAAGGAAATTCTCATAAGGTCACCAATGAGGTTTTCATTTACAATCTGGGACACGACTCCAAACACCTAGATACTTGAACTCATTAGCCATTTTCAAAGAAGCATGTAGTAAACAGGAAGTGCTGTAATGGAATCAGGTCTTCAGGTTCCATCTCAGGACCTAAGTCCAGCGAGAGCTGAATGGTTTTCCCTAGACTTTATACAGAGGAGTATGGATGAGCTGAGTAGAGATAAAAGAATGAAAGTGCTCAAAAAGTTAGATCTGAAGGAAAGTGGTGACAGACCAAAAAATAGGTAAATAAAGGTGGGGAGGAATGATGTGTCATGGTGTGTATGTGGTGGTGGTGTCAGGGTATGTGTATGGGGTGGGAGACTCCTACATGCATGTGGATGTGTGTGTTAAGATCAGTGACTGTCACATAGGCATACTTAATTCCAAACATCTGAACCCATAATGTATTTCCAAGCAATGGTGGGAAATTTGGATAGACTGAATGAAAAAAATTCAAACTGAAAGTTGAATGTGACTAATTAAAACAGTGCATCAGAATATCAAATTCTCATGTGAAAATTGACCTCTGCCTTCGTTTGAACCTGCAGCTCCTGGCGAAATACAAAGGCTTACAATGGGACAAAGTTCTGAGGCTAGAGGAAGTACAGACCAAGCTGGGGATTAGTCTGGAAGAAATGCTGTTGGTCACAGAGAATGCACTTCATGCGGAACCCTACAGCCCTGAGGAGATCTGCAGGTGTCTGGGAATTAGCCTGGAGGAACTCCGAACCCAAATTCTTAGTTCGAACACTCAAGATGGTGAGTCTTTGGAGAAAGGAAGGCATGACCCATTCCCACGTTTGGATGGAAGGTTTCCAAGCTTCCCCATGTATACTACTGATTAAAATAACACTCTAGAGAATTTGGAGAATATATGTGTTTTGGCAAACTGAATTATCTACATTGTTAGCTTCAGAAATTCACCTATTCATTCATCAACAAACATTGCTTGTGTGTGGACACAGGTGTTGTGTGTCACAAAGGTAAGGCATGACTTCTGCCTTCAGGAGGGTTTCAGGTTTTTTTTTAATTTATTATTTTTATTTTATGTGTATGAGTGTACTGCCTGCATGTGAGTGCATGCACCCATGTCGTGCAGGGCTGTGGAGGTCAAAAGAGGGCTTCAGATTCCCCTGGAACTGGAGTTAAGTGTGTGTGGACACAGGTGTTGTGTGTCACAAAGGTAAGGCATGACTTCTGCCTTCAGGAGGGTTTCAGGTTTTTTTTTAATTTATTATTTTTATTTTATGTGTATGAGTGTACTGCCTGCATGTGAGTGCATGCACCCATGTCGTGCAGGGCTGTGGAGGTCAAAAGAGGGCTTCAGATTCCCCTGGAACTGGAGTTAAGGACGGCTCGTGTACCCATGTTGTGCAGGGCTGCGGAGGTCAAAAGAGGGCTTCAGATTCCCCTGGAACTGGAGTTAAGGACGGCTCGTAGCTGCCACATGGGTGCTGGGAATCGAACCCAGATCCTCTGCAAGAGTAGTCAGTGCTCTTAACCGCTGAGCCATCTCTCCAGCCCCGAGGCTTTCAGCTTTTAAGCCCTACTTTTCAACCTAATTTTTTCCTATCCACTTTCTGGCTCTTATATCATTTATAGATCTAGATTGGAGCATTACTCACAACTGCTAATACTCCAGAACTCCAGAAAATCTCCACTGCTTCTGTTGAAATCAGCAGCCTGCTTTAGTGAAGAAACGTGTTTCTATTTGCCTGTTGCCTTCAAATAAGGCTGTTTTCATACTAATGATCTCAGAAACAATGAAGATGGGTGTGTGTTGGAGGCCCACTATGGAATCTTGGTACAGCTGTTTCTATTAGAAGCAAAGATTTTCCATTTGTGAAAGGTTAGGGGCTAGGACATCTAATTAAGATTTAATTTTCCTTAGAGTTAGGGAGGTGGGAGCTTGGCGCAAAGATCAACCTCAGAGCCCCAGGTCTATGCTGCCATTCAGTTCATTTATATAACTGGTCATTAATCACCTGCTATGGATTTCTGATTTGTTTGTTGTTGTTGTTTGTTTGTTTTGTTTTACATTACTGGGGATTGAAAACCCAGGGTTTCATGAATGCTTAAAGAAGTGCTGTGTAACTGAGCTACAGCCCAGTATTTTTACTTTTTTTTTTTTTTTTGGTCATTTTGAGACAGGGTCTCCCTGTAGCCCCAGCTGTCCTCGAATTCACTATGTAGATCAGGCTGGCCTCAAACTCACAAAGATCCACCTGCCTCTGCCTCCCAAATGCTGGGATTAAAGGCATGCGCCACCACGCCTGGCTTCTTTTTACTTTTTGAGACATGATCTCACCAAGTTCCCAGACTGGCCTTGACCTGACTATTTAGTTCAAGCCAGCCTTAAATTTGGGATCCACTTGCCTTCCAGAGCTGGGATTATAGTGGCTCTAAAGGAGTATCTTAAGGCTGTAACTAATAACATCTTTGGGGCAGAATAAGGGGATAATTTGAGAGCAAGGCCCGAGTTTTGATTTCTAACAATATTATATCCTTTTTAGTTTGAACATTGATTCAATCTCTAGAATCACTGGGGTGGGCACATTGTGGACTGCTGGCCAAGTGAAGCCTGCTACCTACGTTTGTAAAATCAGTTTTCAGTAGATCACAGCTGTGTATTTGCTATGGTTGCTTTGGTTCTACAGTAGCAGAGACTGAATAACCCACCAAATCTAAAACACTTCCTATCTGGCACTTTGCAAGAGAAGTCTGGCTGAATTTTCCTCCATTTTGCCATGAAAAGAAGCATAACAAGCCCTTTAATCCCAGCTCTCGGGAGGCAGAGGCAGGCCAATCTCTGCAAGATCAGGGCCAGCCTGGGATGATCTAATGTCAGAAAAAAGGATCTTCTAATAAACAAAACAGTGTTATTTAGGATTACAAACCCAGAGGCAAGACCTGGTTTCTGAGAAGCAAGGGCATGGGCTAGCCCAGGCAACCCTGTCCTCATGTCTATTACAGGCTCAGAGGGCACATGGGACAGATCAGACAAAGGCTACAGTGAGATGAAGCAACCTGAATACGGAGTCCAGGTCAGCTAGGGCTTCATAGAGAGAGTCTATGAGCTGGATCCTGAGGGAAAGCTGTGTGCTTCCCAGACTGAGTGGGTGCTAAACCATTCCAAGGTAGAGGCTGAATGGAGACAAGGAAGCCCCAGGGCCAGATCACTGGAGGTCACTGTAAGGAGGCACATGTGCAGTGAAGGGCTAATAGGACTGCTGGAGGGGATACCTATTTGGAAACCATGCCACTGCTCTACACTGAACAGCCAGAGCATTAGTGAGGACTAGACCCTCAAGACCACAAAGGAGAACTTAGATGGAGGGACCTCTTATGCCAAGGAAGGAAGGGAGGGAGAGAAAAAAAAAAATGGATGGGAAATAATGTCAGTATAGACAGCTTGGAAAGTTAAGGGATAAATCAAGTGTGGGAAGTGATGGGGGGGGGTCAAGGGGCAGATTCATTTCTTTCTGTCATTTTTCTGGTACCTAAAAAAGACAGAATAGGTAAAGATCTAGATGAAACAGTGAGTTCTGGGAGTTACTGTTGGAGGGAGAGGGAGGCTCCAGTGTGGAGAACGCTGAGTCAGTGGAGGCTCACCAGTCCCTGGTTACCTCAGTGCACTGCTTCATCCCACTGTAACCTTTGTTCTGTTCCATGTGCCCTCTGAGCCTGTAATAGACATGAGGACAGGGTTGCCTGGGCTAGCCCATGTCTTGCTTCTCAGAAACCAGGTCTTGCCTCTGGGTTTATAATCCTAAACAACACTGTTACTTACTGATCTCCTTTTTCTGAAATGACATACTGACCTCTATGAAAAGTTCAGTGTTGTTCACATCATCCCTCAACATCTCAACTCACAACCATCTCTTTCTCTGAATTTATGTTCTTTTTTTTTCTACATCTACCTGCCTATCCTCCCTCCTTCTTTTAGCATTTTTATGGAATAAGGTAATTTCGCAGAATTTCTTGGAAAATACAAAGAAAATAATTAATCATATTTAATATTTTCCCCCAAAGAATAATGTTTTTGTACAAATGATCCATGCTTCATTTTACCTCTTTATCCAAAATAATTGCTCCACCGCCTCTGTGCATGCCTTCCTATAATTACTGATGTTTTGATTATATCTATTAATCTATAGTAGATGTATGAATCCATTTGCACTCTGGTCATCCTCAAAGTGTTTCTCCTTTATTTCCTGAATAGCTTTTTAAAAACTAGAAACATAGATTAACATGTGGATTGTAAAGTCATCTTGATTGATATTATTTAATTTACTTTCTAAATCTAGCCATCTAGCCAACCACACTTTCTAGGTGAATTTTGAGGGCCCAAATCTTTTTATCTATTTGGCTTATCCTTCTGAGCTTTTGCTTTGTTTGGTCTAAGACCTTAAGCAAATGTTTTCCTTAAACATTTAGAAGATATGGCTCTCGTTGAGGCCACTGTCCTTAGATTATATTATTGGAGGCAAGGGTGATAACTGCTCCTAGTGGAGGGCTCTTGAGGGGTCACAACCTGTACTAGAGGGGCTTATACTTTGACATACCTAGTTTTGACTTGAACTAATTTTCCCGTCATGGAAACACATGCCATTTAGGCACATAGAGACTCGCCATGCTTAGATTTTGCCAAATTTACTTTTTTCACCTGGATATGAGTGTGAGCTTTGCAGTGTTGACCTCGGGGTGACAGTGAAGAGTGGTGCTTACCATCAACTGTGGCTTGCAGCTTCTGCTAAACTGGCCAGACGCCCAAAGGCCCACACGCAATCCTTCTTTTCTTTTCCCAGATTCTTAGCAATTAGATTTAGAAATGCTTAGAGGCCATTAAAATTAAACACACACTCTAAGGAAAATCCCCAAACCCTTTAGGTGTTTAGAATGGCTGCAAACCATCCCTAAGAGCTGACTAGGAATAGTTTAAGGACTGTTTGCTAGGCATTACCTACACTAGGAATTGTTTAGGTATGCGATTTCATGGCTCAGAAACCAGGCTGACCTGGCATTGTGCAAGAGGAAGAGATGAAGCTGTGGTCAGGACTGGGAGCAATAGGCACATGTACTAAGCATAGGGGATCGTCAGTGACACTCATTAGGAGACAGAAATCCACAGAGAAAATAAGCTCTGAGGTAAGAATGGGCCAGTTCGTTTGTATGCCAGTTTATAAAAGGAAGAATTTGTTAGGAGCAACTAGGCTGTGCTCTGGGTTGGGATGCCTGGGTTGTGTGGCTGCACTGTGCTGAACCAGACACATAAACTGATGAAGTATGGGCCAGTTGCTGGTTTCTTTGGTTCCTGGTCCTGAGCAGTAAGCATGACTTTCCATCACATACAGGGCCCTGGCACAGACTGCTCTTTAGGAGGATATCCAGAGTTGATATTGAGTGAATGACAGTAGCAACACAACTGAAAGCTCCACAAGGAAACTTGGCATTTACTTGATGATTTATCTTCTCATACATATGAAATCTTGCAATAACCTTGGGGCACATGGCAATCCTCATTTCACAGATGAGAAAAACTAAGGTGAAATAGTTACGTGACCTGTCAAGATAACAGGCAGTGTGAGCTCTGTCCTAGTCTGACTTAATTTCCCACCCTTTCTCAGGCACGGTGTGCCCAACCCTAGCCTCTGACCTAATCCCACACCCTTTCTGACATCGCTCTTACTTTGCCGAGACTACACTGTGCACAAACTGCTATGTTGTGGAAGAGCATGAGAGATGCTGTGGGATTTCAG